GAAGGCCAAAAAGACTAGGTCTGGGTAGCATCAAACTGCTGATTCTGGATCACAGGGGGGAAAAAAATCCCAAATATCAATGAATATACTTTAGAGGAGTTTTAGGCTTTGCTCTGTAACTTGAAATTACATCACAGCTGTATACACAGAAGTGATTTCAAAGGAAAGAGGGAAATGGGCAGGGTTGTGTTGGTGCTTTAGAACTTAACAAGAATGTGAGGGGCTGAGCAGAGAAAAGGGTTCTGTGCCATGGCCATTCCCTCCCTGAGTCAGCTGGGGGATGAAGGTCATCACCATCCCCTCACTGCACACAGCAAACCTGCCCGGGATATCAAGCTCTCTCCTGCTCCAGCTAATGACATCACTTGTAAGGAGACAGGATCAGATCCATGGCTTTCTGTTCAAGAAGCAGCAGGATAATTAATTTTGCCTGTCTGAAAACGATGTGTATAGAGATAAAGCCACTGAAACCTCAAGCTTTTGCAAGGAGGTACCAGTTGAAGCCCACTTTTCCCTTATTTACCCACATCTCGTGCCTCACTGAGCCAAGCAGGCCAACTAAATTATTTATGGCAGACCAAAGAGCCCATTGCTGGAAGATGCAGAACCCTTCAAGGAGAAAAGAAGATGCCCAGCTCTCTTGAAGAACAGGAGCTCTGTGCAAAGATGCAAAGTCCTCACGTGATGCTAACTTTTCATGCTTTGAGAAACACAAATGAGCAAGAAAGCAGCTAATTAGGCACGTTACTGTGATTGCTTATTTTATGAAGTGGAGAGGGAGGTGTTCAGCACTTTAATGAGATAATAGCGTAGAGGCAAAATTGTACAGAGAAGCAAAAATAGCAATGGCCTTCCCACAGAAATTAAAATGATTTTTGAGCAACAAGAAAAGCAACAATAGAAAAATAACTCAATACCGAGCAGCAGAAAGAACAGCCTCATTTTATTCTGTACATGTAAAATCTGGATAACACTTGGATATCTGAGGATAGATGGAACTCCCCTTATATACCCAAGCAGTATCTAGACCTGTGTAAAGCCCAGTTTCAGCTTTTTTTTTTTCACCTGCAGTAAAAGGACTTTCTCTGGGACCTGGTGCACCTAATCCAAAGCCCTGGACTCCCCACAGGGGCTGTGCCTGTGTGGAAGGACACAGAGCTCTGTTCTCACTCGCTCTCCTATTTTGAGCACAACAGAAAAATGGGAGATGTAAATCAGCTATTTAGGCGTAGTTCTTTAATTGCTTATTTTATGAAAACCCAACTGCAGACAAAACCAACACTGCATTTCCTAGGAAATGAGTCTTTCTCAGAGACCTCAGATCTTATTTAGCAGCTGGCTTTTGTGCTCTTGGTGTTACTGCCATGGTAAGTAATTACTCATAACGTGACATGCATTGTATCAGCCTTTTAAAAGTAATTAAGAGAAAGTTGCATTGCTTAATGATATGTACATACATCTCATCCTTGCAAGTTTGGCTTTGATAACATCTGCTAGTTTTTGGAGCAAAGCCAGTCTTAAAAAGTCAAATAACCCAGCCCTAACAATGGGAGCATTATTAGCTTCCCAAAAGCTATAAACTCCATGCCCCACTCCAGCACAACATTTGTGTGCACGAGTCCTGTAAGAATTTTCAAGCCTGTGAGTTGCCAGATCAGAAAGTTCATAGTGAACTAGAATTTATGACAATGAAGAAGCCTCAAAAATACAGTTTATTTATAGTGAGCCAGTTTAGGAGCTGCAGCTCACCGTCCCTGGCAGATTCAGCTGCAGCAGCTTTAGGGGTCACTGTGATCAGCTGGTGCCCTTTCTCCCTGCTGATATTATCCCACCTACACAGAGGCAGCAGAACCAGCGCTGTGTCCTCTCCTCAACCAGTGCAGCTCAGACTGGCATGACTTCAGTGGCCATCAATTTTCACATTAGTACTCTGGGCTGTGAACTGCAGCAGCTCAGGAGTGAACAAACACATCCCTGGTCCTCCCCGCTCTGCTCTCGCTGCGGCAGAAGGGTCTGGTGGACATCTGGGGAAGGAAACTCCTGGAATTGTCTGGGATGAATCACCAGAGTGCATGTGAAAAGCACACAGAGTGTCTTCCCGAGATCCCAAGTGCCTGTTCTGCAGCATTCATGTTACCTTGGATTGACATTTCTCTGCTTTAGGTCATTCTCTCTACCCATATCGTGTTTGTGATCCTTGGATGTAATAAGAATATCTACAGAACTAGCAGAGAAAACTTTTACCTCCAAAATTCAAAAGGGTGATGGATAACAGAATAGAAGAATTTTGGATGTCTGAACCTTTTTTCTTCTTTCTCCAAAGAAGCTTTATTTTAAGAGCAGAGGTCAACAGCCCTCTTAGTACATATAATTTTATTACACTCTTTGACAAAAATCGACAGCAGTAAAGAACAGCTTGTTCCACAAACCCCCATGCTGTCAGCATGCCCTTCCCCTTTCTGTACAGTGCTTTTTCACTGTCTCCGCCTCTCCTGCCTGAACTTCCCTTGGAGCTGCCTCCCCCTAGAAGCTCCATGTGGTCTGCTGGGGACGGCCACTGCCTGTGTCAGACATCAGGGCAGCACACCAGGGTCTGGCATGGGTGAAATGCCTTTTGCTCACTGAGTAACCCTGGAGCAACCTCTCCCAAGGTGTGAGGGGACGGACAGGCAGCCTCCTGACCCACACCTGTCAGGCTCCATAGGTGCCCTTGGCTCACACCTTGGCTGTTTTGACAGTCAGCTCCGTCTGCTGGGGTTGGCCAAGACGGATTTTTGCAAGGTGTGCCAGGGGCTGTGCGCAAGCAGCTCTGGCTCCAGGAGGGAGCTTGTCCCCTTGCCCTGCCCCTGTACCAGGGGGTCACTGCCTCATGGAGCAACTCTGGCCACCACCTGACCCCTGGGAGCAGCCAGGAGCTGCCATGGCTCACATCACACCTCCCCTGCCGAGGTGGGAACACGGCAAAAGGCAGAGCAGAGAGAGGAGGGTGCCGAGGGAAAAGGGCTGGCGCTGCCCAGCACACAGCATGGGCAGAATGACAACTATTGTGAAGCTTCTCAATGGCTCATTTGGCATTATTCCCAGCGCTGCTTTTCAATCTAACACCCACTTCTGAGTATCTAATAGAAAAAGAAGGCAAAACCATGAGGCTGGAGGTAGGAAGAACAGAAACGACTACACTGGCTCAAAGGAGCACTAAATTCAGCCAAATTTTCAAAATTTCAAAAGTATTTAAAAACAGCAAACAAAGCAATCAGAATGGTTCAAAAGGGGAATGCATTTTTCCTTGTGATATGGCTAAATACTTCTTTTATTCAATAATTTAAAAGAAAAATAATAATGAAAAAAAAGCTGACACCTTCAAAATATTTAAAATAAAACAGTTACAATATTTTGACACGCTGCCAATGCCAGGTCATTGCTGTGCCACAAAAGTGCTTTTAAAAGAACTGAATCAGAAGACAATTGTTCAGAATTTCAGGCTGGTGTTGCTCAACCTGTCTCTACTGCTTCCTCCCTGCCACACTGATGGGAATAAAAGGTTCATGGTCCCAATGACCATAATGGAAAAAAGAACCTGTAATTTCCCAGCAAAGATTGCCTTGCTTTAGAGAGATGGTCCAATTCACCTTTACTCTTAGAGCATAGGCTGGTTTTAGAGCATTTTTCAGCTGACTGAGGAGTTACATAATTGCACAATTACATCCAATTACATAACTAGGGTAAATAAGTAATAATATAATTAGGTGCTGTAATTATGTAGTTATGACAGGTAGCACAACTGCTGATAAAAGCCATTATGAAACTTGCTAAGAACTGTGGACAGAGCACACGAGAATGAAACTTTCAGGGCTTCGTTTGCTAAAGTCTTTCATTCTTCCAATGGGCAAAATAATTAATTTAATTGCTAAGCCAATAGCCTTTTACTTTTGCAAATGAATGGAGGTACAAATAATAGGATAATTCATATATCTGTTGAATTGCAAAAAAATCAGTAACTAATCGTCCTTTTTTTTTTTTTTAACCTCTATATATCTATTTACAGCTACCAAGGCTCGGGTGAAATATGTGTGTACAAATTACACCTCTGAAAAGCAAAGTATAAGAGTTTGGACATTAACCTTCATTGTTCCAGTTATCACATTAAACTGTCTCCTTTGACAAATGGACACAAGGAACATTCAAAGACTGCTGTATCGATGTAATACAAGTTATGTGCATCTCTGGGTTTGCTAGGGATGATGTTTCTGGTCAAATGGGTCAGATAAACAGGGCATTTTCTACAGGAATGAAAATCCAATAGGGGAATCATTCATGCAGGTTCTCAGTGCAAACACAAGGCATTCAGCCAGCTTTTCAAAGTTTCTGTCTCTTTGGATATTGTATAATACCTGTCTGACTTCATAAAAGAGGCCTGGAGAGCAAACAAATAATAAAACCTACTGCCCTGCTTTAATATTCATTAATATTTCACCCAATAACTGATAAAAGATAGTGTGCAAGAAGAAAGGGCAGCGCTGGAAGAGCTGAAGTGCTTTATTCCCACCAACATCTCCATAAAGCTTGAGGTGTATAAACTGCGTGTTGCTTTAGAATACATTTTATGCTTGATGCATTTTTCTAAAAAGAGGAAAAAAAACCCAGAAAAATTAATACCTTTCTTCATGAAAGCTGGATAGCTCCTGACTACTTCAATCACTGCTCAGAGCAGTATGCTAAGCACTGAGGCAAACACAGAGTTTCTGGGAAAATCAAAATCACAGGGAACATAAGGAGTTTGCAGAGACAATGTCCACAGTCCAGAGCAAGAAAGCAAAATAAGTGCTCTACCCCGAGATCTTCTGAGGCCAGAGACATGCAAGATAATGGGAAAGCCTTGAAGCAAACCACCCCTGGAACAGAAATACAAGTGAAGTTGGAAACCTGCAAGAATATTGCATTTGAGTGAGGGGTATGTACAACATCACCCACGTGTTTCTTTCCCCATCTTGAGCTGGAAAACTGGAGAGGTGAACTGTGATGTGTAAATAACTCCCATCCATTCTGGCATCCAGCCTTTCAAATAACATTGCAAAACAAGGAGACCACAGTATTCCTGTTTTTTTTATCTGATGTGCTATCAGCAAGCCTTCAAACCAGATGCTTTGGTGTTTGCTGGATAAATGATACATAGAAAAGACTGAGAGTCACAAAGTAGACAGTCATATTTTTGGGCTCTGATGAGGCTGGGCAACAGAGAAAAAAACAGCCAGAAATTGTAGATGCTTTTCCTGGTGCTTAGTTTATACTGATCATAATTCCAATGTTACTTTTTGCAATACTTTGCAAGGCAGGAGTAGGCAAATGCAAAGAATAATTGGGTCCTCACTGCAGTTGTATGGATAGTGAGGATGCTACTTGGAGCTAAATTGTACTTTCTGTTAAAGTTACTGCAGCATACTCCAAAATTTTGACCTATGTGTATTGAAGGACTTGAAGACTGGATTTGGGTAGAAATTCTCCTTAAGTGATCTGGCTTTGAAAGCAAAGAATTCCATTAAATTCCATAGAATCCATTAAAGCTACAGAAGCAGCCATAGAAGGCATTCCTGATCATAACAAAAATTAATAGAATGAGGAGAGTTCTTCCAGGAGTATGATTCACAGAGGTTTTCCAGCCATATTCTGCATACTATGAAATATAAAATCTCATTCCACCTTGTCCTTTTCAAAGAGGTCCCGAGACTGCCCTGTTGTCCCAACCACCCATATTTATAATTTCCTGCAATCCCATACACCCCCAACAAGCCTTTTTCAGCAATGAGTCAATTCTATTGGCAAGTCCCTTGTGAAAGGTTAATTTCAAATCTCTTTTCTGCCAGATCCTAACCAGACCCTAACCAGAATGTGCTGTCCTACCCAGCCCTTGGTCACCTCTCATAGCATCACAAGGATGGTCACACAGCTTTCAGGCTGTCACAGAGCCTGAATCAGCTTCTCTCTCTGTCTTCATGACAAAAGTCATACTCAGGCTTCATTAATGTATGGAATGTAGCACATCTCACGTGCCTGTGGTGTAATTCATGACTATCAGGCTGTTTGGGACACCCCAAACACACTTTCTACACAGCTGCAAAACTGCCTCTGAGACTTTTCCTTTTGACTCTTCTTTTGGTCCTAGGCAAAACTGGATCTCTAAATCTCTTTTTCCAGACAAATATCATACTCCATTCCTCCAGTCACATTATTTTATTTAATTTCTTAGTATTCCTTGTAGCATGTGGTATACAGTAAATTCTCTGGCTCCAAGAGAAAGTGTCCCTTTTATGTTCACTTAAGAAGTTCCAATTGCTTCTGCTATACAGCACATCTTCCCTGGCTTTCATACTAGGAATTTAAACTACACAAAGACACAACTACTAATCCCATACCAGACACTTACAGTTTGTTCAAACATTTATTTATTTTTTTTCTCCCACTCTACCATTTATACTTTCATTCCATGTAAGCTTTACATTTCTAGATCCATAGGTACCTCTCCATCATCCACAATAACCTTTAACTTTATATATACTCATGGAAAAAGAGAGTTTAATAATCCCAAAATCTGGATTACTGCTAACCACTTAAACAACCAGCATTCTGCCACAGAGGAACAGGGGCTTTGAGAAATCAGTTCAGTGTCTGAGATCATGTGAGTTTTTGGTGCTTTTCTCTTAGTATTTTAGATATTCAAAGAAAAGTTCTAGCCATTAATGCAGAGGTAAAATACATTAGTGAATTACACATCAGAAAAGTCAAACTACTGCTGCCACAGGATGTATACACTTACTATGAATATTAATGCATTTCTTGGAATTAAACATTAATACTTAACATACATACCACAAAGTTTAAAATCCCACAAACATTGCAGTGAGAGGAAGAGGAGGAATGAACAATTGGGACAGGCCTCCGAGTCTGATTCTACAAATTAAAATGTATTTCTGACATAAGCTAAAATATTTCCATGTGTAACAGGACAACTTGCCACTATGAATAATTCCTCATAATGCAACTGAGTCTACAAGGATTTGGTTTAGGTTTTCTATCTTGCCCACCAAATTGCAGAAGTGTAGATCCATCACTGCCTACAGTATAAAACAGCCTGAGCTGGGCAATGAGACTGATGGTTCAAAATTGAAGGAAATAAGCTGTTCCTCTGCACCTGAGCACTGAATTCCCATCACTGCCACAGCACCTTCCCTTCTAGTGGCAACAGCACTTACAAAAGCTCAATTTAACTGCAGCAATCAAGCACATATTCCTGTCTGAACACCACCATTTCCACTAATGTGAGTTCTTCAAGGCAAGCTCTGCATAAGCCTGCACAGGGCTGGGGAGCCAGCTCTAATTTTAGCCTGCTCCCAATTAGGCATCTTGTCTAAACTAACCATTTAGGCTCTCAATGGAGTGAGAAAGGTGAGTCAGCCCAGCTATATCCTGGACAACCATCTGAAGGCAGGATAAACAACTCAGCTTTCTGCACTGACAAGGCAGAAAGGAGCTGGGATCCACAGAAACCTGGCGCCTGACCTGATGACAGCTGAAGTGAAAGGAGAAGCATCTTCCCCTTGGCTGAACTGGGGAGTAAAAGGCCACCCAGCACCTCAGTAATGAGGCTGGGTAGTGTGTCCAGTGAAAGGCTCGATGAGGGGTAAAAGAGAGACAGTCTTGATAAGAAAAGTGGCTCCAGAAATGCATAAACAGCGAATCCTGATGCGCATTTGGTTACAGCCTCCTCCGGGATTCAGACATATGCCAGCTCTGCAACCACAGAGCCTGGCACAGGCCCTGAGCAGTGCAATACCTGCCAGCAGGTCCACAGGAAGAAAATGCTGCACCACAATATCCCAGCAGGCAGGCAGAATTCCTCAAAAATGAAGCCCCAAGCCAGGCAGCCTCGATAATCCACTCCTCTCACTCAGCAGAACAAACCCTCTTCAGCAGCAGGCTGGAAACAAAATGTAATCCAACACCTCTCTGGCCCAGCATCATCACATTTCTCTCTCTGAATCCAGGCACTCTCCCTGCTTCACAAGGCAGCTTCTGTGGCTCTTCAAACCCTGTGGCTGCTCTGCTTGGTCCTTTCACTAGCTTGTTCAGAGCAGCCATAGGAGAAAAGCACCAGCCCTGAGCACTGACCCCGTGTTTCAGTGTGCAGCAGGAGATGTTATTTTTCTGGACAGCAGCCCAGAGACACTGGACAAAGCTGGAGCAGCAGCAGATGTTATGATGCATGCTCTCCTGCCCCAGCTCTGCCTAATGAGGCAGCAGAACCCACAGAGCATGAGAGCACCGATGCCAAACTGGGGACTGCAGCCTGCACCTTCATCTTTTTCATTATGTTTAAGTCCAGGTTTTGTTGCAAGACTAAAACACGTGAAATGATCTTTAAAAATACAGATCGATGCCTCCTGTTGTTCAGAGAGAGGGGAAAAGAAAGATATTCTCTGGCCTAGCTGCAAGGAGCATCTCTCAGTTGCATAAAGCACATGCCCAAATTGACTTACCACAATCATTTGTGCCACGTAGCTCTCCGGGCCAGTGTATTCAGTTGGATCTTTAACTTTGACAAGAACTATAAAGTACAAATAATGCCACATGTTGTGCTCTGCCTTTATATGCTCCTCAAACGAAACGGTCTTGTTATCAAATTTGTCTCTCTCCAGTCCTGCAAAAAGAGAGGAACATAAAGCCCAAAAATAAACTACTTCAGCATAAAAATACGCAAATCTGTTAAATATGTTAGAGAAAGGAACCTAACTTAATTTAAAGGATCATAAATTTGAAAGATCTTAATTTAAAAGCCATAACTGCCAGGCAAGAAATACCAGGCCAGAAGGCATTCCTGACAGAAGTCTTTCAACGCAGCTTTTATTCTCTTTTGTGATATTTCCTCTTAATAACAATAACAATATAATAAATATGTTACAATTTTACAGTGCCTTCTATGCAGAGGGCTATAAAGTGTTTTACAAGTGTTGTCTCTGGCTCTTTCTAGATGTGTATTGGGAAGCACATAGTGTGCAGTCCAGGCCCTGATCGTCCAAAGATTTATGCACATTTTTAGCATCAAGCATATAAAGAGTCCCACTTAAGCTTCAGTGAGATTGTTTGTGGGCTTCAACCTGGCAGAGAGGGTGAGTTGTCAGCTCTGTTGTCACACAGTCTTTACAGAGCTGTAGTCATAAGAAATATTTTTGATTTTTCCCTGTAATGGTCCAGATCTCTGAAGAAGAATACCAGAAATGAGGAAGGAGAGGAATCACCAATGTTTGCCTCCGTGTTTCCACCCTCCTCCCTGGATTTCCTGTCCACAGACACTAAAGACATGTGTTGTGCACAGCATTCATCCCTGTCAGTACAACCATGGAAACAGCACCCAGCCTACAAAAAAGGCTTTTTGAAGTCCCCCAGGGAATGAAGGTCTGCCCCTCATTGTGAGTGCACTTCAAATAAGTGTGATTTTCCATGGGCTTTGTGGGGATGATTTCCACCAAATTCTTTTGTTCCCTGCTGTATATCACCTTCTGAAATCGGCAGTTCTTGCTGCTCTGGAATGCTCTGTGCTGTGAAATAGAAGCTGCACTTTCATCTGCAGCACTCCCTGTGAACCAGAGTCAGCAGCTGCCCCATCTCCATTAGTGGTGATGATGCAAGCCTGGGCTCTTGTGCCTCGGATTCTGGGTGGAGACTGTGAAGCCATCTCGCAGCAAAGCTAGCTTTTGATTCATAAACCAAATCTCAGACTGAGAAGGAATAAATTTGGAATCAACCGCTGGAATTTTTAAAGACTTTCCTTGTTGAAGATAACAACGCCTGGGGTCCAAGCTTTATTTATCGAGGAATAATTCTTTTTCACTCCTTTCACCCTCAAATATCTCAAGTGATCAGTAACACCTACCACAGATGAAACAGGTGGTTTTTAGTATCTCCTCCTTTTTCTGCTTTTCACTCCTGAGATCAGCAAATGTATCAATGATGACTCCAAAGATCAGGTTGAGAACAATAATTATGACAATGAAGTAAAACAGAAGATCATAAACAACTCGTGCAGCAAACAAGGGCTCCTACAATAGAAAGGTTGCAATAAGGTACAAAACCAGCACAAATCTAAAATATTAAACAACATTTTCACATTAGCTCAAGCAAAGCTACAGATCTTGCTTTTCATATGCCAAATTCTGCTAGCCTTACTCACAGGACTAGAGAGGGACTACCCAAGTCCTTTTCTTCACAGTGATAGAGACCTGAAATCACACAATTGCTCAGTTTCTCACACATTCATGGGAATAATAGCACTACCCTTTGTGGAGTGCTTCAATATAATTAGCATTAAAGAGCTGCTAAGTGGCAAGGGTCAGATTCAAAGGGTCACTTGCAAAGTCTGTAAGTGCTTACAGACTCCACTGGGGATAAACTTTGGCTCCTGCAGAACCTCCCAGTCTGTGAGGTATGATACAGACTCCTACTACCAGCACAGGGAGCTCTTCCATCCAGATCTCTGGACTCTTGCAAGTCCTGCTGAGATCCTACTTTATCCTGAATTTATTTATAGCATGTATGGTGTGGCTCATCAAGCAAAGCACTGCTAGATTGCCATTATTTGTGACGTTCTTTTTGAACCTAAGTAAAAATGCATGAAACCACCCAAATATTAAGGGAGGTCCTTAAATGTACTGCATTTTTCAGGAAACTTCTAGAAGAGAAAATATGCCACAATATATGAAATTCTGGTTTGATCTTCATGCTGGTTGAGTACAAATTAAAAATAGGACCTATTCCAGGGCAGATGCCATGCTGAACATAAGCTAAAGTGTCCAGGTGGAGCCCCCTGGGCTCAGTCCCTGCCCGTGGCTCTGGTGCCATTGCTGGGCCCTGCTCGGAGCCCTCCCTGCACACAGGGACACCCAGGGCTGAGGGCCCCTCTCAGCTGGGGCTCCTCTCCAGCCTGGACAGCCCCAGCTCCCTCAGCCTTTCCCTGGCACAGATGCTCCAGGCCCTGAATCATCTCTGCAGCCTCTGCTGGCCCCAATCCAGGAGCTCCCTGTCCCTCCTGTCCCACGGAGCCCAGGACTGGACACAGCTGTCCAGATGTGCCTCTCAGGGCTGACTTCTTAGCAGTGCTTTGAAGGTTATGATTTTCTGCATTTTTCCAGAAGTGGTAAACAACTACCTAGAGATCCTTTCTTCAAGTATCATCATCACACCAAGCTTAGCTCTTCCATTAAATATCCCATCTGGGATCTAAAAATTACATGGATAAATCAACTGTGCGACATGAGATCAGACTAGATACAAACACTGTCTATAACCTCCAAAAATTGACTTTGGCATTCATGAGATGCACAGGGAGTAATGCATTTCCTGAGCCAAAACACTCACATCTTTGGAAGGCTTTCTGAGCACGTCTCCCACACCCCCACCATTCCTCAGGCCTTGGTTTAACACAGTCACAATGCACATGAGCAGGGTGTCACAGGTCCTTTCTATTCCGTCCTCCTCTTCTTCACCTGCAAACAGGAACCACAGCATCAAACAATCACTCATCAAACAAAGCCACAATTCTGTTAGAGAAAACAACTGCAAGACACATCTGCCTCTCATATTTCTCATCCAGAACCTCATTGATCATCCCCACTCATGTGCACATCGCTGCTGGTGACATACTTAGGCACATCAGGCACACTTAGCCTGAAGAGAGACGGAGAAAATCACAAGCAGGGCTGTTAATGACCCAGAGCCACCATCTCTGCTCATGGGAGCACCCCTTCTCCTTGCAGTCCTCCCACTGCTTTTCCAGTGGGCCCCCTAAAAATGCAGCACAGACAAGAAGCAATATAAACAGAGAATTAGAAGCACATTTGTAAAAGGATTGTCCTCCTGTGAAATCATTACCTACTCATGTATGCAAGCCAAGTCATGCTAGCATTTCAAACCCATTAAGGAGGGGCTGGCTTTTGCTCCAGTCAGTGTGTCCATGATCTTTCCATGATCGTTCACATGTGCCCAAGCACAGGTCTGACAGACATTAAATGAAAGGCTCTCCGTGACCTCAGCTTGAAAACTTGGATCCAGTTCTTATCTGTGCTGCAGAGCTGCTGCGAGGTTTTGGCCGAGCCACAGAGGGAACTATTGTACAGGAGATGTCTGAACGTGCAGAGGAGCTGGGCTGGAACATCAACCCCGGGGGGACTTTGTCCACCTTGGCCACAGTCCCTCCCACCACACTCTCACTGCAGCCTTTGAAGAGCCCTGCTGGAGCTGCTCCCTGTGTCCTGCTGGCTTGGGCTGAAGGCTCAGGGCTGTCACTGCCATTCCTCCTGCCTTCCTTCCTCTTTAGGGACACGCTTGCTTAGGCGGGGAAGGCAGCGATTCACACTCGCCTTGCTCCGTGCACTCATTGTAACAGAGTTTAATAAATAACAACATCCTGCTGTGAGAGTTGACTGAAACACATATTTAACAGCCCCAAAACACCACATCTGGGGCACTGAGATAGACTCTGATAAATTGAATTGACTGCAAGCACTTACATTGCAGACAAGTAATTTGGATTTATATTTAATTTTGGATTTGGATTCCCAAATTGTGGTGGATGCATCCTGGCTGGGATGGGCAGGACAGTGCTCGTATCTGCTGCCTTTGCCACCACTGCTTCTGCTCCATAGGCAAATTAAATGAGAAACAACTCCCTACTGAAGGAACTTTGAGCAAAAAGAAAAGCAAAAGCAGACATCAGGACAGACTTCCCTGTTAAACTATACGGTCATTACAGACACTACTCCCAGAAATAATCCTGGATTTAAAAATAACTGCTTAAATATTGAAACTGAAAGGATTGAAACAAGAAACCTTTTTTTATTCTGCCATACCTAGATTCTTTTTACTAGCACAGTGGTGTTATTAATGTTATTCATACCAAATAATCTTTGCTGCTGTATCCTGCCATTATTCCTCCTTTCAAACAATACTTCCATCTTTTTTTTTTTTATTTTTTTGGAGCTGTGCTTGAGGAGACCATCCACAAAATAAATTAACAGCCTTGAAAAAAGCTTCTATTTCTTTTAGGTAACCACAATTCTGTAGTTCACAAGACCAGACTCGGGTGCTGGAAGCAGCAGATGATCAGATTCTGGTGAACAGAGAGGATAATCCAGGACTGAGAACTGAAGAGGGAATTATCTAACAGCAGCCCTAACACCCAACTCTCCCTGTCCACTGAGATGATAATTCAGAGGAAGCCAGGCTTCAGAGAAACAAGATACATCACCTTGCACACCTTGCAACACAGAGTGTCAGCACCCTAGAAAAGCTCCCAGAAAAGCAAGCTCAGGTAGCAAGATCTTTGCCAAAGAACCAGACAGCCCAAAGTTGGCAGAAACATCTAGTGCAGCAATGTAGGCTGTGGGGAGTGTACAGACATCGTTTTTGCTGCTCTGTTTCCACTCCCAGATGTGGAGCAATGAGAGCTGCCTTCAATCTGGGAGCCAGGCAACTCTAGAGGCACATGTTGTGCCTCAGCTGTCTGTTCTCAGTGCTCAACAGCATTCACAGGACAGGCTCAGCCCCTCTAGGCACCAACTGTGCCCCTACTTGAAAGGAAGGAGTGGATCTGTAGAGTGCACTGTTGTTAAGGACCCAATATTGACACTAATTGAGGTTCGGGGGGGGCTTATTTGCCAGCAGTTCCACCCTGGAAAGTGGCTTGTGAGGGTCTGGACAGCATTAGGCAGGCTGTCTTCTGATTAAATTTAACTCACAGGCAAAACAGTGCTAAGACCACCCCACAATGTTAATCACGGGGCAGAGGGAGGGATAATAGGATTATTTACTTCAAAAATCCTCATCTGATGGCCCACAGCTACCTGGGCCACACAAGCACATCAGGTGAGACACACCTGGTGCCACGTGGATCCAGCAGATCTTGCACAGAGCAGGACCAGGCCTGGCAGTGGAATGAGTCTTTGGAAATGTCCCCTTTTACAAACAGGTATCTGTGCATCTTTCTAGCACAGGTCTTGATGGGCTACAGAGGATGAGGATGTATGTACTGCAGGATGTGAAGCTCCTTTAAGTGATTAGGCACTTCACCAGGCATAGACTGAAGTGATAGGGAAATGTCTTTGGAGTGGAGAGAGGGAGACTCTGAGGCAGAGGAGATGAAGTATTTTTATGCTGACAGCCCAGAGAAGCAGTGAGCAGCAGGCTGCAGAGAGGGGGGCTCTGGGCACAGCACACTGGCTCCCAGGGAACTCCCTCTCCAGCCAGAGCAATGACTGAGCACAGGCTCCACCAGAGAAACCCAAGGAAGAAGCAGAGTCCCATCAGGAGAAATGATCAGCAGTGATCTGATCTGAAAAGCAACATAATTCATGTCTCACTCAGGACCTGAGATGCCACTGAGAACATTTTCTCTTTCCCACACACAGCTGTGGGCTGCTCTGGTGCTGCAATGTGAAACTCCCCAGATCTCATAGAATCACAGCACCATTAAAACTGGAAAAGACTGAGACTGAGTCCAACCACTCACCTAACCATGCCATGCTCTCCACTAAACCACATCCCAAGTTCCCCATCCCCACAGCTTTTGAACACTTCCAGGGATGGTGATCTCATGCCTTTGCATTCCACCATGCTCACACTTTTACCAGAGGGAAAATCTGGCCCAGGAAAAGACAGAAAGTAGAACAATTCTTCTGAACAGGTGGCTAAGGTGAGCAAAACTGTTCTTGCTGAATGTTGGTGGGTTTTAATGGTACTGGATAAATAAAATTTCTTCAAGATTAAGTAAGAGTGCACTTAGATGTTTTGTAGAGCCATCTTTCATTATGGTTTGATTTTAAAGGAGCAGTACCCAAACAATGAGAAATGTGAGATTTCTATCATTTAAAGAGCTTGGCAAAAGCCACACTGCATCTCTTTGACTGATTGATTACTCTTTGAATGCAGCAGCTTTGCCAATAGCTCTTAGACTGTTTTCTCTATCTAGCTAGACAGCTTCCCATGTTGTTTATGAGGCCTGTTTACACACCAGCTGGGGAGAAAAAGCCTACTTTTATAGCCCTCTCCCTGAAGGCTTTGATCCTAAAAACTCAAAAATTAGTAGTGGAAGAATAAAGCTTATGAAACAACATTATACTGGCACGCAGGAAGGGACCATTTATGTCCTCACTTTCAGCCCTCAGCAACCACAGGCAACTGTGGCAATAAATATTTTGAGCCTGCAGACCATCCACTGTGCACACACCTCCACTGCAAAGGCCACAACACATCAAACCAAATTTAATACCTGCAGTGAAAGACCAGGCATCTCATGCTCCATGAAAAGAGTGGGACAGACAGACACGAGAGCCTGGATCTGGGGTCTTAGGTCTTCTGGCTATAATACAGCCTTGGCCCAGATGCACATAGAAAAAAATACACAAAAGCTTGCTGATAGGTATGTTGTGCCATGAAAATGAATTTCTGTGGCCCTAACTGGATCAAACAGTGGCTCAGTGTGTGCAGGTGAGGATGCTGCAGACAAGCAGCAAGCTGCTTCTCTCAGCTAAGACACTTGGCAAGAAGCAACTTGTATGTTCAAGCATAATGATTCAGCAAGCTCTTTTAATAACAAAATTAATGTCAGTGCATTTGGAAGTCAGGTGTGGGAAGCACTCCCATTAACAGCAAAGCTGCCAGCTAAGCTCCAAGCCTTGCAGAAGTTGAGCACTTCTGACTCACAGCAGCCATCGTCACTTCTCACACCAGCAGAAGTCCCTGCAACAGCAACACACAGATCAGAGAACCACAGAGTGGTTTGGGTTGGAAGGGACCTTAAAGATCATTTCATTCCAACCCCCAGCCATGGGCAGGGACGCCTTCCACTATCCCAGGCTGCTCCAGCCCCATCCATCCTGGCCTTGGACACTGCCAGGGATCCCTTGGTTCTAAGTGGTCATCAGCTTTTGTACTGACCTGGGCTAAGAGCTGGGATGCTCGTGGAACAGTTCTCTTTTGCACAGGCTCCCATCATCGATGTCAGGGTTGTGGTGGGAACTTCCCCAATACCTGTGGAAAAAGCGAGATGTTGACAAAAAGACAGGCACGACGTTGATGTTAAGTTTTAAATCATTATTTTCTAGGAGCGAATCACTGGGTTGGAGAGTTAAGAAGGAAAAACAGAACAAATTACACCAGCAATTCCTCCCTCCTTGAAAGAGTCTGCCTCAACAGCTCAAAGCAATCACAATGAACAAAAACACAGTTTTATATTTACTGTATATCACAGCTATTCCTATTTCATCTCCTGAAATTAATGAATCTACATCAAATGCGGCTGCTTCTGGTGAGAACAAAATATATTCAAAGGAAGAAACAACTGTCAGATATGAAAATAATGTCAGTTTTAAAAACCATTAGATAAATTATTCACAAAAGCTGACAAGAAGGACACCGAGCTGATGTTCAGTTATCCTGAATGTAGAATATTTAAGGGTTTTCAAGGATGATAACACAGTTTGGTACTCATTTGTAAATATGTATGGGTTTGTGTAAAACACTAATTTAACATTCCCAAAGTGGTAAATGTGTACATCAGCTTGATTTTATCAAACCAATTTTCTCTTGTGCATCTTCAACAATTTTCTGCATTTCAAATTAGAGATACAAAAAGGTTTAAGGAGAAAAAAATGAAGGCAAAACTATACAACAAAATAACAACCTAAGACAGTATGTGTAATGCAGAAAACATGCACTCTGACTTACTCTTTCTGCTACTTTATAAAGAAAAAATTTAAAGCACTTGTCCTGGGAAGCATAATGTTCCATCAACATGCAGTCAGCATATTTTCTTGATGAGTTTTTGATCAGAAATGGCAATGTATGAAGCCAGCAAGAACATACCCACACCACAAAAAATCTGCCAAGAACTCAACAGAAGCAACACAAACACACAGGAGCTGCTGCCCTGGATCAGCCCAGAGCTGTGTGTAGCCTCTTTTATTCAGATGGTCACAACTACCTTTCAAAGTGAGACTTCACACCCTAAATTCTGTCCCAGAAATGAATGGTAAGTCAAATATAAGCCAGTTTAGCCTCTAATGGATGATCAGTGGGAAAAAAAAATCAAGAAGAAAAAAAAAAAAATCACAGTTAAAGAAATCTGTCAGGTTCTTTTTTTTTTATATGGTTTTGAACCAGCTGCAGAAGTATGTCAGGCCCATGAGTCTTGAATGACCTTTGCCTTGTTTGTGAGCTTTAAATCCTGAAAAAACAACTTCAGGAAAAGACTGGCAAACACTGAGTGCACACAGCCCCGGCTGGGTTCTGCCAGTTCTGTGCTTGTGTACAGGTCTGAAGAGTTCAGCATTTGGGAAAATCATGCCTCGAGGAATTTAATCAGCAGCTATTCTCAAGAATTTCTCTGCAGCCAGTTACTCCCCTGCCCATGCTCCCAGCAGGCTGGCTGGCAGCACATACAAAGCTCTGCACAGACCAGACCTGGCTCTTTTCTAGCAAAGCAAGTTTGTAACTCTCTACTCACTTTGCTAAAGTCTCTCATTCCAGAAATCTGAAATCTTGGCCTTTTGAAAATCAGTTCTAAATTTCCCAATGACTTTACTGAAGCCGGGATTATATACTAACAATGACAATCATGAGACACACACTGCATTTAAAATACGCTTTTATCAGTAGAAAGGTGAATTCTTTAATAAATTTCTGCTGGATGCAGCTTAAAAAGCAATGTAATGAATACAGCTAATGAACATGTTAAGATCACATGCCTCATACAGTACATAGAAATTACTACGAGCTGCTTTTAAGGTGGGATGAGAACCAATACAATCCACTTGGAGCTGCTTTTCACTTAGAAAAATACTTAGGAAATACAGATTATTTTTTTAATGTTACCACAAGTTTGTGAAGCAAACATAATAGATCAAATGTGTCAGATTTTAGCATTTCAACAAATAAGCCCAGACTAAAACAACCCTATACACATTAAATTTTACACAGAAACTTAATTGAATTCTAAGGTATATGGAATTAGTTCTGCTCTCATGCAGGCACAAATAAAGTAATTTGATGTCCTTAGATGAAAAGTTAGGTTAGGCAGACAGAAAGAGGGATATGCTGGAAGCAAATTTTAATATAAAAAAAAATACCTGCAGCAGGGGTCCTGATTTTCAACCTGTCAACCTCCATGATAAAGTCATCTTTCAGGAAGAGGAAGCCAATGATGGAGAAGAGATAAACCAGGATGAGTGCTAGCACTGCAGTGAGGATAATTGAACGGCCATTCCGGGTAACACTTTTTATCACATTTAGCAAAGTCTCCTCCCTGTACACCAGATCAAACAGCTGGGGAAGGCAGAGAGTAGAAGAAAAATGAATACAAATGAGGAAATATATAGATGCTGCACAGGAAAACAACCTGAACTATTGAAACATGCATCAAGCCATGTTCTACATTCTCAGCTTCATAAACTCACATTGATTTCAGTGGGAGCTGGTCATGCTTATGGAGTAGGAAATCTAGCACAGAACTTTAAATTTTAAAATTAATCATAGAAAAATCCAAAGCCACAAAGTATATTTGATCCTGATTCAGAGATGGACAACACCTACTATCAAGATCCGTTGTTTCCCCGTGTTTAAAACCAGGCTAGATTAAAATCTTGAAAGTGTCTTCATACTATGGATACTTCTATATCTACAAAGTAATTTTTCATGGTATCTCTCATCTGACAAACATGCACAGGCTGCAATTCAAAAATGCACTCATACATGTAAGTAATTACATATTTGTAAACTTTCTTTGAGCTCATGGCATCATGTAAAGGTCGCATGGACAAGGATTGGGGCCACCTCTTTTTAGGGCAAAGTTAAATTCATGTTACTGTTTGTATAAGACTAGAAACTTCTATTTTTCTCTACCTGTACTATATGCTTCCCTGGTATTTAACTAAAGAAAAGTATATATTAAGATAATGTTGCTTAAATGTCAAAAGCCTAAACCAGCAATTCAATGTGACAAGAGCTTTACAAGAACCTGTAACTTTTTTTTTCTCTTACAATTTTCTTGATGTTCTATAGTGCTTTGGACTTTATCTATAATCTATGTATTTCTACTTCAAAACACTCAGATTGCAGGTATAAAGTGACACACTATGATTTATCAAAATGTTCACAGAAGAAGGTATTAGCCACAATTTATAAGATCTGAAATCCGCAGCCTTGTGAAAGGATTAATAATAAAGGAAGAAAAAGGGGAGATAGTTATAAACAAATATTAGAGTTTAGACTACATCCACTACTAAGTGAACACCTGGAAGCAACCTGGGTAAGTGGATAATGTCCACGAATCATGGACATTGGTCAATAGCAGTCACTGAAAAAAAGTAAGTGCATAAAATATTTCTTAAGCTGCTTGACACTTTGTGAAGTATTTGAAGCTAGAGATCACCTAACTCATTGAAGGAACAGCAGATAATTTGTTCACTTTTTAAGCAGGAGAGTTACATCCATTTGAAGAGGGTCCTGCAGCTACAGCCACAATCTTGGCTCCTTTGAAATCTGCCCAAACTTTGAAGCAGGCTTTAATGACAAAATCTGAAAAGTCTGACTTCAACAGGAGCTCTACCTGAGTTAGCACAGAACCCCTGAAAATTTTAGTGTGCTTAACACATCTTTGAAATGCTGGGAGTTCACTACTATTCAGGAAGCTGAGAAAAAATACAACACGAAAGTGAACCCATGTAAATGACCACAATTTAGCCAGTCTCCCTACAAGTTTCACATGTTACACTATAGAGCAAAAGGATTAACAAGAGCAGTGAAACACCTTTTACAGCTACTCAGCATGAAGGGAGCAGTTAGTGGAGTTTAGCATAATTTTGTGTGATTCATTTTCACTGCACCTGTACCTGTGATTCATTTTCACCTGCACCTGTACCACGTTATTAAAAGGCATTCCATCTGGGTAATGGCAACAAAAGAAAATGAAGTGGGATACGTTTCAAGTGATGAATCTTCCTGCTACACCAGAGGCATGCCATCCCTATTTCCCACGTAATTTGTTAAAAATGTATTGGGGATGAGGAATGGGATCCTTTGGTACAGGTATGATGCACAAACCCCTGGACAACTGTCCCCAAAATGTTAAGACGGCGGACACAAAATATGGAGAAGGCTGGGGAAAAGGAGTAGGCTGGGTGATGATTGTCTGAGAAGAAAGGAGCAAACTTTCAGCTCTAAAACAGATTAAGTCCTAACAGAAACAGGTTCTAATAAAAACAGCAGCTCCTAAGGGGCAGCAACACAACGGCATGCTAAAAATACCCATGATTTGGCTTGATTGTCAGGAAGAAATTGAAGACAGCTGCATGGGTAACGGTATTTTCTATTTTTGCAAAGTTTTCCCCTCCACAGCAGCACGTACTTACCAGGAAGCTGTAGAAGAACTCGTGCACACAGAGGCCCAGCATGCAGACCAGGACATAAGCCACATGGTAGAGAAAAGCCATGTCCATGATGACAGCTCTGTAGCCACGGGTGAAAGTCCCACGGTTCCCAACAAAGCTCACCAGGAACACGATTTTGTTACAGAGCTGTGGGGGGTAATGAAGGCTAGGTTTATGCCATCAGAAAAATCCTGGTATTTATTGTTTGGGTTGCTGTCTAGATAGGTTGGTTTGACTAAATGCACAACCTTTAGATAGCTGGAGAGAGGTGAGAGAAATCCAGCTCTGACCCATGAGGGTGAGTGGAAGCACATCACCTCTCTAACACTGCACTGTGCCTCATTACATTGTGATTTATTCCTATGGCATTAGTGAATAGGTGGGAAGGGTTAATGCCACGAGGCATTAAAATCCCACTGGGGACTGAACTCTCAACAGTTTTGAGTTTAGACCCAAGACTATTTAAGAGCAGCTAGGCATGCTACTACCAAGAGAACAATAGTAACACGACAGAAAGTCTGTGTGGGGGTGTTGTGTGAGATCTACTTCCTTCAGATTGTGTTCTTCAATTTACAATCCTTACAAAAAGCCCTCAGAACTGAGGACATTTTTGAAGTACAGCATTTAAACAACAGCCTCAGATTGTCCATGGCTCCTGAGCTTTGCCTGCACACGAGCAGCAGTGCAGAAGTGAACAGGAAAGGGTTTCACCTCATCTCCCTGGCAGTCCAGGACAAGGAATGAGGACTCAACACGACTCAACACGACTCCTTTGTTCACAAATTTGACGTGGGCAAGTGCTGCTTACTTGCCTTTACCTTTGAATATATGTCTGGGTGTTTTTCAGTATGTGAAATTCTCACATACAGAACTGGTGGCAAACAGCCCAATACTTCGTGCTGGGGTGAATTAGAGCTGTAGCAGTCAGGAAGAAATTTAAATAGATGACTTGTGAGCATGACTGTGTATCTTACCAAGCTCAGTAAGCATGCAAACTTATTCATGTCTAAGTTAAGAGATCTGGCAAAGGGCTGAGAGAATTTTTAATTTTGAAAATTCTTTTCTTCCTGAAAATATATTTAAGGTCTCAGAAACATTGCAAAAATTTGTGTCAATAGTATTGAGAGTAGTGGTAGAGAAAATTATTCTTTTAACATAAGAAACTGTAGATTTGATTGCCCTTATGCAGCAATATTTCTTTAAATTTCTTTTTTTTTTTTTGGTTTTAAAATATTTGCATATGCACAAAACTAAACTAGCTTTTTTTCTTAGCTTCCCACTTCGCTGACACTGCTGTTTCAGGATGACTGGAAATTATTTATTTTTTTGGCTTAACCAATGAACCAGAAAAAGAAGTTTTTGCATAGCTCTAATCAAACGAGGTTTTTACCCGGAGACCCTTAATATCTTTCCTTCTGCTGGAAGGGAAATTCTGGTTGCTTTTGAAGTACTTACATTAGCAGCACCAAGGAGTATCAAGGTAGGACCGAGCCCTATAGTATATATAGACCTGAGAATAACAGACACCAAAAAGGGTCGAATGCCAACAGGCTTGGAGATGAAAAACAGCATTGCTGTGCAGAACGCCACTGCTATCCAGAGGAGCACGGAAAACAACGGCGAGAGCGTGCCTGCACAGAGGAGAAAGGGAGATTTGAGAAAGGCATCTTTGGAGACTCCATTTTTCACCAAGAAACCGATCCAAAAGATCAATTCCTTTGCCAGCCAGAGCTAACAAAAGCGTGATTCATGCATCACAACTGCTGACCACGGCTCGCCCTAATTGTAGCAGGAGCTATTATTTTCAGAGTACTGTTGCTTTTTGCACAGGTAATAATAATACGAGCAGCTAATGAAATTTCCATTAAAATCCAGGGAGTGCTCAGAGATGGAACAGTTTACCCTTCTCCTGGAGCAAGCCACTAATCAGCTCCCCTCTGCAGGGATCATTAGGGCCCCTCCGCTCTGATTCCATGATTGCTCAGTACAGAAATAGCCGGTCCTGGGGGCAGCACAGCGAGTGGCAGCGCGCTGCAGTGCCACGTTTCCAGCCCCGGCTCCCGAAAAAAGCAGCTCCTTCCCGGGTGTTCCGGGGAAATGGGGCACTCGGCACGGCAGGAGCAGCCCCGGGCTCCGGGCAGGGCCGGGCAGCATCTGCAGTGCCCGGAGCGCTGCTCGGCTCCCGGGCGCACAGCGGGTCCCGGGCGCTGCGGGCGCGGCAGCCGCCGCCTGCTCTGCAAGATGCTGGCTCCAGGCGCCACGCCGAGCTTCGAGAGATGCTCCTGTTTTGTCTCTCCCCTCTGCTTAAAGCCCTGGAAACACACCATGTTGCTGTGATATAAAAAGCACATTCAGATCTCAGGGCGCTGTCACACTTGTACACTGACTTCTATTGTTACGGGATGAACTGAGAGGTCAGTGACGGGGGAGAAGGGAATAGAAAATTTAGCCGGACTCACAATAGGAATCATGCTATCTCTTTGGCAACAGATACACAGCTGAGCAGCATCACTGGGATTAGAAAACAATGAGATGAGGCCCTAGCCTCAACATTCAGATGGCATCCGAACTTTTCCAAAGTTCAGGAGTGTTTCTACCCCTAGTGGGAGGTTCAAGGTCAGCTCTGCCAGAGAGTTTCTTTGCCAACAAGATTTGGAAACTTTCAATGGATCCTAAAAAATTGCTTTCAAGCCCATCTGAAAGGTAAGGCCAAAGTTCTCTGTGGTTTTTTCACAAACCAGTTCTCCTCCTTCCCTTCTTACTGCAGGTCCAGCAATTTCACATTGCAGAGCCCACACCAGAACCATGTGCAGACAGGCACCCTGGAGGCAGAGTCTTCACAGAATCATGGTTTGGATTGGAAGGGACCTTAAAGATCATCAGTTCCCATTCTCCCTGCCATGGGCAGGAACACCATCCACTACCCCAGGCTGCTCAGAGCCCCATCCAGCCTGGCCTTGGACACTGCCAGGGATGGAGCCACAGCTTGTCTGGCAACCTGTGAAGTCTCATCACCCTCACAGGGAAGAGTTTTCTTCTAATATCTAAACTAAAGCTACTCTCTGTCAGCTTGAAGCTATTCCCCCTTGTCCTGTCACTATGTGCTCTTGTCTCTCTTCTTTCTTTCTTTAGGCTCTCTTCAGGAACGACCTTCAGCTGGAGCGGTTTCGCTTATGTCGTGTTATGTAAGAACTGCAAGTACCTACTAAAAGGCAGCATTTTGGGATGATAAGATCAGCCCAGGCACCTCAGACAGGTGAATAGAGGTGGATTTACATAGGGTGAAGGGGAAAAATGGGAGACAAACTCCAGCTGTTGGATCAGGCTTTTTTGGACAGGGAGGCTGGAAGTAAGGAGGCTGCCTCATGACCTGCTAATCCAATTTGGCCACACCTATTCCTCATTGCTCAGAAGTTGCTTTGGCTTTAAAAGCACCAGGAGCTGGAATCCTGAAATGTGCTATCACTGGATTAGTGGGGCCACTTAAACTAATGCCATACAAATCTGCAGTTCAGAGTAAGTATTAATACCTACTGATTGCAGACTAGAGGATTTCCACAAGTACAGATTAGCTAAAATTTAGTAGCTTAAAAGGTTTATTTTTAACCCTTTATTTCTCCTCTCATCCTCTGTGGGCTCTAACATGCTCTGGGTGACCCCTCAGTTCACAAAGCACTGTGGACAAGATGCTTCCCTTCTCCAGGGCACAGCCCTGCAAACTCTGCCTCACTCCAAGGTGCTGTGGAGCTGCCTGAGCTGTGACCTGCAGAGACGGCCCCATGGGCAGCGTGGTCCCCATGCCAATATATTTTAATCTGCTGCCTTTCTGTTCTGCCAGCCAGCAGGAATGTTTGTCAGTGCCAGCTGTGGTGTTTGTGAAAAGCACACGGATCTACTAGAAGCTGGACTGCTTCCACCAGCCCAGTTCACATGCCATCAGACAGAGGTGACTTTCAGTCACATTACTGACTGGCCACAAATCAAAGCCCAGAGGTGAATGGCTCTGCTCCCATTACCAGTATTCTCAACTATTTAGTCTCCTTTATCCCAATTAAGCATGTTTGGGCTTCAAAGAGGCCTCCTGCTAGTCTGCTGCATTTATAGCAAATAAAAAATTTCATTAAATATTTCCTGTGACGTGGGATGAAGTGGAGACAGAATCATAAGTTTTAAGAGTATTTTTACATAATGCATTTATCCTCTGCAACAGTTATATCCTTTTATCCCAATAAACAACATAGTCAAAAGCAACAAGCTAGTTTTCAAATAATTCTCTTCCATATGTTTTCAAGACTGCAAGTCATTCAATTTGGTCAGGCTAAAGGAATCCCTGTCCCTCTGCTGCCAGGAATCCTCCTTCAGTTCAGAAGCTGCAGCTGAATGTGTGCAGTAGGACACTGCAATATGGCATATAAAAAAATTAGCTGAGATCATCTAGATAATCTCCAGCTTATGCTCTGTCTATTCTACTCTGCATTGTGTAGGCCATGTGACAAACAGATCAACCACCCCATCTCAGACAACATCTGGTACCTACTTAGGAGACACTAAATGGCTTCCAGATACGACTGCACCTGAAAATGAAGTTTTATTTGTTACCCTAGTAATGAAAGCATCTGAAATTAAAACAAAAAATAAGACCAGACTCTACTTGCCTTCATCTCCATCATCTCCAAAAGGGTAGAACAGAGCAACTGCTAAATTGATGAATACAGCAAGGTTGAAGGAAATGCTCCCCCAGAGAGAGATGTGTCTGGAGAACCAAAACAGGGCTGGATTATCTAGAAAGGGGGAAAAAAGCAGCAATCAATAAGCTGAAAGCAAGCAGAAACTCAATCATCAATGGCCTCAAGAGAATTAATACAGATTAATGTAGAAAATATGTAGATCTTTAAAATTAACTAAAATAGACAAATATTAAATGTAGGTTTGCCATAAAACAGAGTTTCAAGTAGAGCTTTTAACCCAAAAATCACAACACAGTTTATTTTATATACCAGAGTTTTGCCTCTGGTAAGATTTTAGGCCTGGATATTTTGCAAGGGAGTCTTTTCAGCTGCATCTGAATCTGCAGTTTCTGTGCATGGGGACATAAAATCAAGCAAACAAATAGATTTTAGCACTCTGAATGCCAGTGAACCAGAACACCCAGAATGTATCATCCAGATGACCTATTTGGACCAAGTACACCGATGACATAGGCAAAGAAGGATGGAATAGGCGTGGTTTCAGAACTGCAGGATTTTCCCCACCTCTGCCAAACTAAAAACATTTTGAACTGCTTGGGAAGCAGGCAAAATTTGGTCTGTTTGGGTTTTGTTTCTACAAAAGCTGATTATTTCCTGTGTGATGCTCAGATGCTGTGTGATGTTTGTCACCTGCTGACAAACAGCTCTGTACTCCTGCTTAAAAGGACTCAAACAAGCCATATATGCTGTACAAACACATAGAAACAGTCCACATCTTAAAGAACCTACAGCCTAGCTAGGAAAAACTAAAAAGGGAAACAGTGCAAAACAGGGTTGAATTTGTGTCCAGAGTCACATACATGGTTCAGCAAGAAGGCCAGGAACAAGAGCAGAGGGTGCTAAGACTCATGCAAGCACTTCATATATATTAATGCACTAAAATACGTTTAAATGAACATTTAAAACAAGATCCTTTGTGCAATAGTGTAAAAATATCTCTGGTCAGAGAGGTTTCAAACATGATGCATCCCTATTAATTCGATTTTAAAGTACTGAAAACTTCCTGCAAGTATGCAGAGCACCCAGCTAAATTTTTATAAACAGCAGACTCCTTCAACTGCATATGACTGTCCCAGGCTTTAGTCCAAATAGCCTTTAATAGTAATTAAGTAAATAGTCACTGTGATAACCTTGTGCTGCTGACTGCTGAGATTTAAGCATTTGGAGCCATTGCAAAAATGACATCTGACAATTTAAGCAGCACAGACTTCATGCTAACAGACACTTAGCTAAAGAATGAACCCAGCTTCAACCTATATTATCTTCTAAAATAATAAAAAATACCCCAATGCGGAGACTTGTGGCCATTCCACTGATGAAAGGAATTGAGAAATTTCTGTTCTGAATAAAAATAAACCAATTTTCTTTGTTTATAGCATTAGGAGGCAGGTCTGGTCTATCTAATTGTTGGGTTGGCTCTTTTTATTTCTGTTTCTAACCCAAAACCCCAGATACGATTTTTTTTTTTTTAACTGAAGTAATTTTTCTACAATACAATGACTTTTATTCCCAAATAGACTGCAGATTCTGGAATCATGTATTTTTCAATTTATATTCTGGTCAAGTTGTCACTACTAAGCTTTTAGGGTGCGACCAAGAGAAGCAGACTTGGGTTGATGGGATTCATGCTGAAGACTTGCTGCTGCTGAAAATTAAAGCCTGGGAATTGAAATATAACAAACTGCAGTAACATCCATGTTTCTATCACATTCAGGATGCTCCCACAGGATGCTCTGAGTATCCTGCTGCTCTAGACCCTACTCCTTCCTTCCTTGCTGATCAATTACTATGAGCAGATAATGTGTGACTCTCCAAGAGCATCTGCATTTTATTAGTGAATGAAGTGATCACTTTAAGCCATTTTCATGTATTTTCAGCCTGGAAAAGAGAAGACTTTGGGGTGACCTCATTGTGGCCTTCCAGTGCCTGAAGGGAGCCCACAGGAAAGATGGAGAGAGACTCTTGACAAGGGCCTGGAGTGACAGGACAAGGGGGAATGGCTTCAGACTAAGGGTTTGAAGGTTTAGATTGGATATGAGGAAGAAATTTTTCCCTGTGAGGGTGCTGAGGCCCTGGCACAGGTTGCCCAGAGCAGCTGTGGCTGCCCCATCCCTGGCAGTGTCCAAGGCCAGGGCCAGGCTGGATGGGGCTCTGAGTGACCTGGGATAGTGGAAGGTGTCCCTGCCCATGGCAGGGGGAGTGGAATTGTGTGATCTTTAAGCTCCCTTCCAACCCAAACCAATCTGTGATTCTATGACATGTAAAATATAACTTTCTGCTCCAAAAGCCAAGGGCAGAGTTGACAGTGGCAGGATCCTCCTGATCTGGGGACATTGGCAATAACCCCATTCCTGCCAGGGGCCAGCAGCTGTGCTGCCCACCAGGGAGCCAAAGACATTCAGGGTACCTGGTGGGGCTCTTGGTGTCCCTGCTTTGATCTCTCCCCCATAATCCTGACCAAGCAGCTCAAGGCCACACATAGCACAGGACATGCACCAGTATGGGCCAGCTGGGACACCCTGCAGCCCAGCCATGCCAGGCTGATGTGGACTGGCACAGGGGCACTGACTCCATGGGAGCTGGGCAGATTTAAAGCAGCTTAGGTTCTGGTGACATTTACGAGTCTATTAATGGCCTTTCAGGAATCTGCAAACCTCAAATATGCAGCTACACATGTTTTTGTTAAATTTTAGGGGCCTTGGCTTAATTAGGTGCAATGCTATTAAGATTAGTAGAACTACACCCAGTTCTTCCATCCCTCAATTTAACTTTTGGAGTCCAAAACATCATCTTGAACACATTAATAACTGCTCCATATAACACTTCTTTTATAGTGGCATGCAAGTGTCTCAGCTGACCTACACTCTCAAGCCCAGAGCAGTTTTGCCTGCTGCAGTGTCAGAGTGAACAGAGAAAAGTGTATCATTAGAATGAAAGTATTTGAAGGTTTAAAAACAAGGTCTTAGCATAATGAAGCTATTTTCTTAAAATTACAGTACTTACTCCTAATTTTCTTTTGCCATTTCATCTCGTTGTACAGATCCTCAGTCTGCTGGAAAAAGTCATTGACTTTGCTCCCTTGTTCATCTCTCTCTGTTGTATTGAATACTCGACTTTTGGATTCCCGAGTGAGGAATTCACAAATATTGGGGACAGGAAAGACAATCTTTTCCATTGTTCTATCGTGGCGAACAATCTATTAAATAAAATGCACATTTTTGTCAGAGTCAGTGACAATCCAATTATTTTGTCATATTTTTCTTGTTCACAGCTCTCCTTTTATTTACAAATTAATACATTAATTATTTGAACATTACAATAAAGTTGGAACAATCGATCCCAAAACACAGTAAAACTGTTTTTATTTTCAAAAGCCTGCCCGAATAAGGTGGCAAATATAAGTCTAAAGAAAAACCTAGGTTCAGACTTCCTCAAATATAAAAAATGTTGTAATTCAGAATGCTTGAATTTCTCAGCAAATTGAAACAATTCTCTCCCAGTAAAAAGTGGAGAAGTTCAGGGGCTTTCTGCTCTGATTACAAAATGCTTTTCTCATCTTGAATCTATTTCTATGATGGGATAAGCTGTAAAGGTGAACATGCAAAAACAGCACCTTGTCACTCAGGCAGCACCCATACCTCGTCAGTCTATCTTTTTACTTGAAAAACCCAAGGTTTTGAATTGTTTGCATTTCAGCATCTACCAAGTTACCGGTGAGCAAGCTAGATTTTATTTCATCTCACCACACTGCCATCAAAATTGCTTCCCCATTCTGATTGTTGACTCTGTACTACTAAAAATACAGAAATGGGTAGAAAACTCTTTTTGACTCCTACAACCAGGCCTGTGAACAGCCACTGTGAAAATAAAAAAATACCACTATTTGAATTTCAAATCAAACAAATGAGATACGTTAATATAGGGGAGATAACATCTGAAACACCAAACAAGTCTAGGACTGCTTTCAAAGACAAGCAATTATCTATTTTGTATAGCAGCAATGCTGGGTTGAGTTTCACTTTTCCAGAAGAAGTTATTGGCCACATAAAAGCTGACCACGGTTCTTGTTTAATGCCTAAATTTACAAGCTACTGAGGTAAATGGGCTGATAATTGCTAAGAGAGATCTCAGCAGCACCCAAAGTATTAAAATACATTAAGAGGAGCACTGAGCTGACCTCTGGACAACCAAGGCCATGGACCTTCCACCTGTCCTGTGGTGGGATATCTCTGTGGGCCTCTGTCTAAGTCCAACCCATGGCAGGTGTAAAGTTTAAAATAGAGAACAGAACTGCTGAACCAGGCCAAGCCTTGGTATTTTAAACAAAAGCCACATTGAATGTCTACACCACTTCAAAACCTCTTTGTACTCCAGCCAGACTTTTAATTTGATCAGCCAGCATCAATGACTTTGAAACTCATGATTATTTATTTGAGTGATGTACCATACAAGATGATTCTTGACTTCATGACACAGCTCCTATTCACAGTCATGATTTCCCTAACAAAACATGTTTGGTAATGCACAGGAAAGCTACTGTGAAACGATGGTTTGGAGCCACTTCTAATACAGGTGTATTCTTTTAGCTCCCACAGCCAAAAGCATATTATTCAACCTTCTCCTCATAAATAAACCACACCATTTGGAAGCTTAAAAAGAGGAGGTACACCACATGCAAGATGCAGACTTGTCTCATAGTCCATCTTCTGGAGAGCAATCCTTTACCTCTATCTGTGCCGTATGTTTGGCATAAAACCTCAAGGCTTCATCTCCTTCATCTGGATCTGACCCTGGCTTCAGCATCTGTTGCAATGTTTTATTGTGACAAGCCAGCTAGAAAAAGAAGAAAAATCTGATTTATGTTCTGCTGCTATGTTTTCAGCTTTATCATCTCCACTTAACTAACACAAATCCTCCTTCCCCCCATTCCCATATACTTACATGCTCAACCCAGTGGGGCTCTTTCCACAGATAACAACAAAAATGTAATTACTCGAGAACAATAGAAATAATTTAGTCTTAAGAAGTCAGCAGAAAGTCTTCAGTTGAGATTTATGAAAGGCAGCGTAGCCCGCAGCTTGGATGGTTTTTGGAGGGCTTTTGACAAATGCCAAAAAATTAGACTGAATACTTCTTTTCACTTGAGTTTAGACATAAAATTTGCATACCTCCGAGTACCAAACTACATTTATAATTAATTTTTCTAAGTGATTTCAAATGGCTAAACTAGGTTGTAGGTTGATATTCCAGAGCTGTAATTATTTCTGAGGGAGTTGGACTGTAGTGCCAGGCAAATACATCCTTAACTGTACAGATATATACACAGCAAATAGATACATACACACAAATATGTATCTCCTATAAACTTTTATGAATTATACACTTCACATGACTGATAAAATACATCTGCTCTATGTTGAGTAGTAGATATTTTAAATGTTCCATTGCTGTACAAAGTTTAACAAGAAAAATGTTGGCAAATGCATTCATGATGTCCCGTAGGTGAGTGAGAAACAAAGACCTAATTATAAGGCATAGGGAAATTACTAAAAATGCAATTTTCCCTGAATCATAGCAAGTGGTTTCCATCCAGAATAGCTGAGGAAAGGAAAAAGGAAAAAGGAAAAAGGAAAAAGGAAAAAGGAAAAAGGAAAAAGGAAAAAGGAAAAAGGAAAAAGGAAAAAGGAAAAAGGAAAAAGGAAAGGAAAGGGTCACAGACGTGATCCAGGACTGAATCATCACAGCTGACATTACCACAACAGACCATTAGAAATGAGGCAGGCATGCACTCAAAATGACCACAGGAACCGGGGCTTTGAAGTGATGATCACCACAGGTGGGCCAGGATTGTGCTACATGAAATAGCACAGCCTGGTGAGGAATTATAAAATAATTGCACAGCTACAAAAAGACTGACAGGGATTAAGTCTAAAAGTAACAATGGATCCAAACAGATACTGTAATAATCTAGCCAGAATGGGATGTCACTCATCTGGAATTTGCATGTTTCACTATCTCCCTATTTTTAACAATAAGGCAGGGGAGAGGTACATACACAATTTAGTCTATTTATTGAAGTTCACTAGAATCTACTGACCAAAATACATTTTCTTCTGGATTTTAATACAAACTTATTAAATAAAGATGAGTAAAAAATGGACTATCCAATAGTAAGAGAATATCAGAAAGGGATATTCAGGGAGAATAAATGTGCTTCCAACAACTTCCTTGGGGACAAAAGTCTGCTTGTTCCTGACAGCAGAGCCTGAGCCAACGTGGCACAACATCAGCATTTTATAAAAGTGTCATGAGCAGATATTCTGGAAGACCAGCAAAGAAATGACATGGGGGTTAACTGCAGAGGAATATTCCTTCCATCAGTAGTAGATTTCTGTCCTGAACAGTTACTTTTTTACTCTATCTAGCAAATGCATGGATAGTATCATTACTCACATTAATGTCTTTACCTAAACTTCCACTTCTTTTTGAGACTAAAAAGGTTCTTTAAGACTATCTGACAAGTTCTTCCCCTTCACACAGGCCAAATAACCTGATCCAACCAGCAGCTTTCGAGCATGACCACAACAATTGCTCAGCAAGACAACTTGAATTCATCTCCTAGAGGTCTCTGCACGCCCCTCAAGACATGTTCTAGAATCATGGAGAAAGAAGATGAGCCATTGGAAACAAGAGAGTTACTGGTTAAAAATGCCCTTTCAACAGTGTTATTACTTTTGCCTTTATGCTTTATTGGATGTCCCTCTGCTTCTGTACTTACAAAAGGGCAAGCAAGAGTGCCCAGTTCACCTTCCCTGTATCATTCATCATTCTGTACACTACTGTCACGTTCTCTTTTATTTGTCTCTTCTTTAAATTAAAACAATCCCTATCCTTCCCATCCCTCCTCAAACAGAAGACTCTGTGACTCAATTATTTTCCCTGTCTATCTCCAAGTGCCCTTTACTTTGGCTATATCTCTTCTTTAAGATACGAAGAGGAGCACTGACTAGACAGAATGCAATCACACCGTGCTTGGAGTGATGAATTAGCATAACCAGGAGCAAATATATTCCCCTTTTATTATCTTCTGTAATACAGAGGAACTTTGCCTGTATCTTGACCTTTATTTCTCCAATGTGAACCATTAAGATTTTGAGTTTTCTAACAAATGACAAGTCAAGGACATATGGATAGTTCTTCTTATTAAAACTATGCCAGTTTGGAGTAAGGGACCTGCTATTATTTCAGAAACTTCCATTAGTACCACAAAAAATTTTCTATATTTGTACTTGAACTTGTATACAGAATTGGAAATTCCATTTGTAAACCATATGAAAACTCTAGGTATTTCTTCTTGATATGCTTTGAACTGTCCATAACTTTTACTGTAGAAGTCTCTTTTGATAAGTATCAGTAACAGAAATTCCCTTATCACATGGAGTAGAAGGGAAAACCATGTCAGCCTCTCATGGTCTAATGGGACTGGCAAGAACAGGCTGTTCAGAGCCTGCTGGGGATTTGAGATTGAGCATATTTTGCTATCAGGTTTCACATGAACAGCAGCCACTCTCTTTAGAACAGTGTGTATTTGGTGATCTGCTTTCTGAGGCTGTGCTTTTTCTGTGTGACTGTCCCGTGCTGATGTGAGAACAGAGCCTGGCACTGCACAGCTGGGACTTTCCAGCACAGCCACTGGACAAAGTGACCTGAAGATCAAGCCAGGATTTTCTGTGCCAGCCCATTGACTGCCAGAAAAGATACATCAGAAAAAATGAGGACTGCTGACCCAGCTGTAGGAGCTGCAGGATATTTCAGATGGGGAACCTACCTAAAGGTACCCACAATCTTCAGCTGGTGAAGCTAAATCTTCTTCACTTGTAACTTCACTTCTCTCAGCTTCCAAATCTCTCAATACCCACTCACTTTCTGTGTACTCTAGACATTCAGACAGTAAGCTCAGGGCAAAGGAACCCATCAGTTTTCTGCAGTTCTTGCACAGGACGGATTCCTCTACGTCGACACAACAATAACTACTGCTAATATTTCTGTATTGCCACAGCCACACTGATGAAGGAACATTGTGGACAGCAATCTGAGAGAGCTCAGATCCAAAGCAGAGGGCCACAGTGTGACACAGAACAGCTTTAGGAATGCTGTTATTTGGCAGCCACGGTGTTTTCTGAAGCTCTGCTTTCATGCTCCTTCTTTCGCCCCATAACGAGCTCAAAGGCCCACGTGGGCCAGCGGGACTGTGTCAACAGATGCCTTGACCAGGGCAGAGCTTTTTGTGAGATCAAAGACACAGCAATGAAAATAACAATGCAGGGACAAACTGTGAACCTATCCAAGTTTATAATACACCCTAGGTGACAGTTTGTGTGTGGTGGGTAAAGGCCGTGCAAGCTCTGAGTGATATTATTTTTTTTCATATTTAACTGCTGTGATGCAGTAAAGTGTCATATCCAGTGTGCTGCACTAATCTTTTGGGGCAGCTGGAGGACAAGACATGGGATGGACATGGCTGAGAGCAACTATAATGAGAAGAACAGTTCCATTTATGATTGCAAAGCAAAGCTCAAAAATGCACCTCAAAAATACACTGCAAGTGTAGCTGATACAAAAAAAAATAACCATCACTAGAGCCTGAATTTGCAAAGAGCCCCAGAAAAATCACCATTATGGAGAAAACTCCTTCACTCACTCAGTCACATATCAGCCATGCCAGTGACAATATTTTAAATGTCAACACTGTATTTTACTGCTCATCAAGGCGTGTAGGGACACGGAAGCAATAGCACATAATGGAACAGTGATTTCCAAAGAAGGGATGTGCAAGGCAATAGCTATATGAATAAAGATCATTTGGCTTTCAGTCAGCTCCCAAGGAAGGACTGCTGTTCATCTTGAAAGATTTTTACTTAAAAATTTTGGAAAACACTGTAATAAAGCATCAGTACAAAATGTGAAAGATTGAGGACAGACCAAGAACACTGAAGACATTAATAAAGAAACAGTAGAGATAAATGACAGAATTACAAGTAACATTCAGTCTAAACTCCTGACACAACATGACTATAAAATCAGATCTGCTACTCATCTGGGATGCCATATATGATCAGCAGTGTGGAAAACCACAGCAGACTCAGCTTTTGCAATTAATATATGGGTTTCCTGCAGGCCTGCAGTTTTATAGTCAAGATTACCTTGAACAAAAACGAAGTTATTTAAATGCTCCTAAAGAAAAGACTGATTTAAAGCTGTGAACATTCATTTCACCAGCCTGTCATTAACTCACTGATGTGGTATAGTAGGTTGGTTTGCCAAAATACCAGTGTGTGAATATGTGTGTGCATGTGGAAAAATAGCTTGAAAAGAGAAAGCTTTTCTCCAGTTTTCAATATTTCTGTAAAATACAGAGCCCCTCCATATTTTAATAAGGATGTGTCAGTCCCTGTTTGTAACTTGTAAACTGCAGGAGCCTCTCAAGTTCTCATCAAAGGCATGAGGTCTTACCCAGTACACAGCTGAGATGGTTGTCAAAATTCCTGCTGATTACACCAGGCTTTACTGAAGCCCACAAAAGGACAAGAAATGCAAGAGAAAATACATGAAATACAAGCTAGAGATGCTAGGTTGGAGACCCTCAAACTCTGAGAGATTTATTTCACTCCCCAGAATTTTAAAACAGCCAAACATGGGTGAGGGGGGTAAAGGTGTTTTTTAATCACTAGAATGGTATAAAGGGATCTAAATGAGTGAGGTTTAGTGTCCTTTTAGCAATCAGGGTTTTCATGGAAGAGTCAGCTCACAGGCTAAGTGTCAAACATGTTAAA